GTGATGAAGCAAGAGGACAGTAAGCAATTGATACTTTTCTAGTGTCTCAACACAAAGATATAGAGAACATACTGGTGGCTTACAAGATGGGATCATTTCTGAGAACAAAACACTGCCATCAGGGAGCAGAAAGTCCTGGGACTCTCTTCAGAAACTGCAAACAGATAGTCAGGATTTCAGACCCTTGCTTTCTGTCAGGTGACTTGTGTGACTTCTCAGGGATCCCAGTAGAGTTATTTGAGTAAAGCCAGATCTGTGGTTTATGTAAGCAGAACGTGAAAATGTAAAAATATTTTCTCTTTTTCCTTATGCATGTATTGCTACATTGAGTATGATCAGGCAAAGAGGAATATTGATCTTTGATTATTCGTTGATCTTTATTATTCAAACATGCAGTTCCAATCCTGTTAGCAGACAGCCCTTTTCCAAGCCTCTTTTAGCAAATTCTAAGTCTCTCTAATCTTCCTGGTTCTGTTGGTAATGTAGTTTGTTTAGTCATGCTTGCTGCATTGATTTGGCTTTCACTTTGTAGTTTATGTCTCAGCAATTCCCTTTAGTATTTGATACCTTGATAGTCTTTGAGTCACAGTGTTGAACTGTACTAATGCAATGCAAATTCTAGTCAAAACTGAGGTGTGTGATGGTGAAATATTGTGAAGGTACCCCAATAACACTGATATAAATGGCAGGAAAGTGAATCCATTAAAAATATCAAGTCTATACAGTTGCTGGTATCCTCGGGGTGAGGGTAGAGGTCAGTTTATTTTGGTGGATTTTTTTAATTTCGATTTTGTGCTGAACATTTCTTCAGTTTTAAGTTTGGTCTTCTGTGATGGGGCTTTGTAGAGAATAAAGAAAACCGTAAGAAACACTTAGAGGAGTTAAGTACCTAAATGCTTCTCTTTTTCTTCTGGAAAAAAAAATTAAAAAAAAATTACATTTTATTTAGATTCACTACTCCTTTGTTGAGTGTCAGCCTAATGTAGTCTTAATCCCCAGAAGCATTCAGCTCTGGAAATGGTCCTTTATAATAATAACTGTGACAAACTAAAAAATAATTTTCTGGTTTACTATATTTTCCTACTTAATTACTATGACAAAAATAAAAAGGAAACTGCTAATGAAAGTGGGCATAAAGATGCACTAGGTACCTTCAAAGTGATGTATAGTAGTTATGCTCCCCCAAATTCAATTATCTGTAAAGTGTATTCATGCACAGATTGTGGCTTCTGTGCTTGTCTCTGATAATTTAGCCACAATCAGATGGAACAATAATGGTTTTATTTCATTTTTTGGCTCTTTGTTCCCTCTAAAGTATTTGCTGTTCCCATAGGAGCCCTTTCTCTTTTCAAAGTGAACAGCTATTTGATCGTTGACACTGCCACTGATTTGTGGAGTAACGGGATGATTAAGTATATTGGCAGAGTGCCTCATTTACCTACTGATAGGCAACAAACCCTTTGTCTCTTTTCTTTTTTATGATTTTTCATATCTTCTCTTTTATACATCACTGAGCTCATATTAGCAATTGACCTGCAATGTGGAAATGCAAGTGCATTTCACGATGGCTTTAGGCAAACAAAAGGATCATCAGGATACGCAAGAGCGAATCAGTTTTTCCATTCTCTGTGAGAATATAATACTCATTTTGAGGCATCTCAATTTGAGCGTTCTGAAATCTGCACAACACAGCATAATTGCTTGCAGAGACTTGTCCTAATTGGCAGCTTAAGGAAAGAGACACAGACAGTTCTTACCACTTTCCACATGCAAAGTTCTCCAGAGACTGTTGAAACAATTAATAGACATTTCTGTCTTTCTGCCTAAGGTGCATAACTTGAAAACACAGATGAAATGATAGCAAATCACATATCGAGGAGTCTGTGAACTCTTCCAAAAGTGAATGACATCCTTTGGAAAAAGAGAGTTTGGGGGGGGACAGGAATACACAGGGGACGGGAGAGGTTTTGTACATGCTTTTTCTCTGTTTCTCCCATTGTTTTATGTATGTGTGTGCATATGTGTGTCTGTAAAACATTTTATCTGGATTTTTCCCTTGTGAAAACTTTGGAGCATATTTTTTACTATTGTGATCAAATTAATTGGTTCATTGCAAATGCTGAAGGCTACATTTCATTTATTCAGTAAGGAAGTTTATATTTCCTCTTTTTTTCCATACTGAGTTACTTCAGTGTTTTTCCTAGAACTTCCACTCTCCCTAGGGTTAAAAAAAATCTTCGTTTGTTTCTTTTAAACTTTGGTTTTGGAATGGGTGATGTAAATATTACAGCCCAAGAACTCTGTTGTAAACCTGGGTTTCATAAAACAAGTACTTGTGTTTTCCCTTGAGAGCTGACTAAAAAAATCAAAGCAAAACCTTTTACTAGGCTTTAATATGGAGGTTTTCATCATATAGTGAATAATCTATAAAATCATTTTAGAGTCTCTGAGATACAGAATAGACAGAAATAATTTTAAAAAAAACCACCCTCGCTGATTCCCCATGTGATTTGTATTGGAGGTGCTACATCTGTGAGGTACTTTTGCAGTGAACAACAGCATCTTCCAGTATACTGTCTACAAGCTTGAACTCTCACCTCAACCAGACAGGCTCACTCCTTTCACAAGATAGTCTCAGTGCTAACCATGAACTCACTCCAGCGGTCACCTTGTAATCACAGCAGACACAGCAGACGCCTCCCCTGGGAGAGGTATAGAGAATAAAGCAATGGCAGTTTTTAAGTGGAAAGAGAGCTATTGCATTGGGTACTTCCCAACACACGCTGATGAGCGTGTGTTTAACTGGCAGGTAAACATGTTTATTGCAGCAGGAAGCTTAGAAATATTACTTAGGTGTATTCATAGCATCCTTTATGTTTAATATGCCATTAAGATCAAGGTATAAGAAAGAAATTTTTCAGCAGATACTTCCTGTTAAACTCACTGATGCTTAAGATGTGTTTTAGTTTTTTATCTGATGATCATCCTATACACTGGCTCTAGAGAAGAGACTGGAGGAGAGAGCATAGAATAAGGTCAGTCAAGAATCCTGCTACCACTTCTCTGACCTAAGAGCTATTTGCTTTGCTGCAGAAAACAATGGCATATTTACATTTTAGACATAGTACATTACTGTGCTCAGCGATTTCGAGAACCCCATGGCCCGTTTACCTGACTTGAAGGCTTATTCTAGCCGTTACCATTTTCACCTGCAGCAGAGTCCAGCCAGTTGGCTTTTGTTATGCATATTTACTACAGAGGAGAAATAATAAAATAATACTTTTAAAATTCTGGTTTCTTTTCGTTTTTCCTAATTTCCCCTGAATGACGTCACCTGCAATGAATTTGCACTCCACATATTGCAACATCACAGCCCTTGTCTCTCTCCTCTTGTCATAAAATATATTTTGGCTTCTGCTATTCAGGGCACCCGTCTTTAGTATAAACAGATGCTAGCATTTGAAGTGAGCACTTCATGGTAAATAGAGGCCATATGCAGAGGCTAAGCATGGTCTGCTGACAGTGAATACGTTTACCTTTCTCTAATGCTTTATTTCATGGCATTAGTTTTTACTGTTTATGGATGAATGCTATTGCGATGTAACTTCTCCACAGTGTGATCTAACTGTTCTTTAAGGAAGGTTTGTCAAAAGAGAAGCATCATTATGATCTGAAAATCCTAAGGTCTGTCCTATTCTATTCTATATTTGAAACATTTCAAAGACTAAGGGCTTCCAGAACTTTGTCTTCATCCAGTATGATAGCATTGCATAGCACTGAAAGAAGGGAGAAGCTCTACTTCAGTAAATTCTTTTCAGCTGTTAGTACAAGGAACATGAATGTGAACTTCCCAAAAATTCCAGAGAAGAGTTTGGGATGTGGGAAGGAATATATGCCTAGTAGCTGGCTTGTTTTGAAGTGCGCTGTGCTGAGAAGACCTGGACATCCAGCAGGTGCCCAAATATCTCAACTTTGGCAATATCCATAGGTTTTAGAATCACAAGGTCGCAGTTTTGGTTTTGTTTACATTTTTTCCAATTTCTGGAGCTCACAGTGGAATGCAGAAGAGGTAGTACAGTTCATCTTTCATCACTTCAAGTGCTGGGACTCCAGGTTGTGCAGCATTGGATCACTAGTCACGGTGCACTGCACAGACCCCATCCATGGAGAGGTTCACTGGCAGGATAGTCTTTAAAGCTCTTAGACCATTTTCTTAGAAGTAAACAACTCTGTTCATCATTTCTACTGTCAAGCAAAAAGGATGTTCACGAGAACATGATGCTTCACTTTGACATGCAGACAAGGGCATGCCAGTGCTGTCATGATCAGCTGCCAAGTGGGAGATGCCTACAGGCTTTTCCGATACCATCAGCCACTGGATTTATCCTGCAGCCATGTTGCACATGCAGCACAGCACAGCACAAGTGTGCACCTACCTCAGGTCAACTCTTACATGAATCTCTAACTGCTCGATGTACAGTAGTCTTCTGGTTAGGATCACGACAAGCGCCCAGACCGGTGTCCTCATTTTAACTTCTGAACAAGTTGACAATCACAAGAGAATTGTCACAGCATTTTCATGGGTTTAGACTGAATAGTTCTTATGGTAGTAACAAAGAAATACTCAGACCTCTTGAGTCAGTTTTGTAGTACATATTTTGTAATATAAATTTTGTTGGTTTATGAATGAGCAAGCTGTTGCATAGGAAATGCTGATGCAGAGCAAGTCAACTGCAGACTTGGGCTGTAAAAATGTTACCAGGTGTGCTAGGAGTACAGCCAATTCATCATTTAATTTCTCTGCCACCATAAGAAATTAGTGCAGATTTCCAAATCAAGTGGTTGCCTAGCATCATAAATGCAATTATTTCCCCTCTTTTGTGTTGGCATTCACATGCTTCCATTACCCCTTACTCTGTATCTGTTACAAACTCAGATGCCTTGATTTCTGTAGCGGATTCCTCTTTTTCTTCTTCACGCTCTCCCATGTGTCTTTTCAGTGGTCAGTGTACATCCGTGCTGCTGTCCGCAAAGAAAAAGGATTGCCAATCCTGGTGGAACTGCTTCGAATAGACAATGACCGGGTGGTATGCGCAGTTGCTACAGCTTTACGAAACATGGCCTTAGATGTCAGAAATAAGGAATTAATAGGTATGTTCTTTCCAAATAATCTATATATTCTGTGGGTTTGGTGGGGTTTATTCCAGTTTACAGCAGAATGAGCTCAATGAAAACAATTATTCTCACATTTCTAGCATGATTTCTTTAATTCTTTCTCTAATGTGTCACATTCAGGTTTTATGCGACAGCTTAGCGCTATATTGCAAGGAATTGTTAAATTAATTAAACAACATGCAGTGTTTCGTGATCTGTCATGCTGTAATCTCCAGAAGAAAAGCAATGGCTTTGTTCTGCTTTAGCACTTCATTCCTAGGCTGGCAGTAGCACTTGCATCTTCCAGATCAAGGATCTAAGCAGAACAGCCACTCCTTATCCTCAGATTATCTATTGCAAGTAATTTGGGGGTCACAAAGTGACAGATTGTAAAGATTTTAAAATAGTTCCAGGATTTGACAGGACATATTTCTAGTTCTGTCGAGAGAATTGGGAGATGCTTGCTTCACAAACACATATGCAGTTAAAAGGAAGAGGACAATAATTTACATAAATCATTGTTGCCCCTGAATTCTGATGGTATGGTAAGCACACATCTTGGGGTTTTGGGGGGCAGTGTGTGTGTGTGATGTATTTATTTTGTTTAGATTTTTGGTGGTGTTTTTTAGCTGACATTCATCCAAACACTGTGGATCTTTGAACTTTTATTTTCATGTTCTGTCTTTGAAAAGCAATCACTTCTTTGATTTTGAATTATTTCACCAGTCATGCAAAATTATTTCTACTTCTTTTGTACATTAAGAGCATATTTTTTATTCATTTTTGCTAACTTCTTAATTTGTACTGTTACAGCATACTTCTCCTCTGCTTTTAATTACAGAATTCCACAAATAGATACTTTGATCATAATGTTTTTCTATTTGTATCCATTTCTATCTCAGGGTTAGTGCTTCATTGCATCAATGCTCTCCAAGTTGTTAAAACAAAGCAATCACTCCTCTCACATATTGTACAAACTAAAGAGACTTCACTGACAAAATGTTGTAAAGCAAATAGAGATAGAGGTTGGTCAATAGTGTAAACCTGCTGTGGTTGCCCAGGGATTGAACTCAATACCGATGCTTCACCTGCAAGACCAGCCTACTTGTTCAGCTTCTGCTTGCCTTGTAGTTAAGTTTGGCATGAAATTAGATTTGTTCAATGTATTGTGTTCAGCTTTCAGGAAGCAGGATGCTGGATGTGTGTTCTTAGAGGGTTTTTTTGTTCATTTTCTGGGAATTTTTAAGTAGAAATTATTCTGAAGCAAGTATATCAGGACATCTGATCAGGATTAGTACCAGCCCTTTTCTTTTTCTCTCACAATTGCACCTCCACATTCAGTCTACAGCATGTCATAGGCTCTGGTATTTAACATCTCATTGCATTATTTTGGGGACTTCCTCTACAGGGTTCACAAACTACATTCATACTGAGTTATCTTCTATAATCTCTTAACACTATTTATTGACATTACAAAAAAATCTTTACAGTTGAATTTAGAGAGTATAAGCATGATTTATAATGCCATGCATTACGCTATGATAGTCTTTTCTGTGCTCTGATTATTATTTTTTATTGAAAGTTTTATTTCCTTCCCAAGTTTGCAAATTTCCTTCAGGAAAGTAAGGCTGTCTTGTGACACTGAGCTGTCTTAATACAATGTGCCATTCAAAATATTGGGTAAATTATGGTTAATAAGCTTGGACAACCTCAATTTTTTAGTATTTTATTAATTCTTGCAGAATATATGATAGAAACAAAGATGAATTTTTAAAAGGTGGGAAAAGTGTGTTGAAAATAATTACCTGATAAATGTATTTATGAAGCAAACTTGTAATGGCTGTACAGTGCTGCTCAGATTTAAGTTATTTGTGGTGTGATTCTGGGGAATTGTACTTTGTAACTGCAATACAAATTTGCTGCAGTTTAAAAAAGTCCAAACATGCCAATAAGACAGAGAAGTTATAACTATAATTCCTGCACCATTTCAGCTGTGATCATTATGTGTTCTTTTCTTTGGCTTTCATCACTGAACTTCAAAGGAATAGTCATAACAATCATTCTTGCTCTTGTTCCCGAATATTTTTTAGCAAGTAGGGCGTATTATATAGCTGATTTTCAGAACGCTAAACACCTGGAGTGGTCAAGAATTTCAGCTCATGTTGCAGGTGGTCTGGTTTTGGGAATATTACAGTTTGACATACACTATGATGCCTTAGCTGTTGTTTTGGAAAGGAGGACTCAAAAGGGTCCTCTTCAGATTAGTCACTCAAGTGTCCTTCCTAAGCAGAATTGATGTCCTATTTATCTTTCCTCTTTACGTTTTTGTATGTGTATTGTATTCTTGTGTTGAAAAACCCTAGCTCACAAACTAGAATTTCCCCCTTAAGGTAACCTTTCTGAAAGGTGAATTTTCTAACTGTATATATAAAAGAATTCCATAAGTTAAATTGAGTTGGCTGGGGCTTTTTAATATACCTATAAAGCTTGCTTTTCAGTGGTGCTGTGGTTCCATTCTGGCTGTCAAATTCTTACTGAAATGTGCCACAGAATGAAATATTTCTTTCTGCTGCTGCTAAGCAGCCCATAAATCAGTGTTGAAGCATCTGGCAAATATGTCATAAAGCTTGCTAAAATCCAGAATCACCTGTAGTGAACTACAAAACAAACAGAAAACCCTTTTTCTAAATGGCCAGAAGTTTCTTTCTAGACTTCATTGAATTGACCAATCTGTTTTGCTTTTCACACAGATTTATTTCTTTTTTCTCCTTCTCCATCACTTTTGAATTGTACCATGTGTCTTTAGGCCAAGACAGCAGGCATATTCATCTTTCTCCTTCCCAAAATTAAACTACACTCAGACAAAGACAGGGTAAAACTGGCCCATTTAGTACTGGCAGTAGGTAATCCAAGACCCAGGTTTCTCTCCTTTGGATGCACTGCCCAGATGCATTCCTGGTCACAGTCGGATGACTCTGATTTTATACCTGCCTTTCAGTACCCTTGTATGCATGAAATAGTACACACTATATTGCTCCCAAAGAATGTACCCCATGGGAAAGTTCATTGGCCTTTTCTCTCTCCCAGCAGTGCCACAGCTGAGGGAAATGTTGCTGTGGTCTTGAAAAGACCCACCACTGATACTGCGCATTTTGTTCTTCTTTAGTTTCAGCAGTCTAGGCTGCTGCATTCCTGTGTCCCTTTGGTATCCCAGCATCTTCTTTCTTCTTTTCACATGCTCTGTAAGCATTTTGGAAGGCCTCTCTTTCCTCGAATCAGGTTCTATCTCTGCTAAGCTTCTCCACAGGACCATTATTTTCTCCCCCTCACCTTACTAGATGCCTCTGAGTTGGTCAGAAATCAGATTTATTTGCTTTTGATCGTTCACTTAGATAAAAGATTATCACTTTTATCCCACAGGTCCTCCAAGAGCTTTGTTGATGACCTCTGCGCAGTTAGGTGAATCCCATGTGCCTTCCTTCTTATCTCTTTCTGAAAAAAAAAGGGGGGAGGAAGGAGAAGTAGCATAACAAAACCACCCTTCTGTGTTCCTCAGCATGATATAGGTGCCTTAATCTGAGGATATGGCATTTTTCTTCCTCCCCAGGAATGTAATTTTTAATCTTCAGACCTGCTGCTTCTGGCAGTGCCATTGCAGGATGTCAGTCAGGCCAGCACCTGGTGCCAGAGCTGTTCCACCATGTTCCACAGTGAGCGCACCTACAGACTTTATCCTCTAAAGACACACTTTGTTGGAATGAGGTCCAGAAATTGCTAACTTAGAAAAAGGGGGTTTTTAAATTAGAGAAAACTTGGGCAGCTGGGCAGGGCAGAAAAGCTTAAAATAAATTCGTCTCTGGTAAACAGCATCTTTGCAGGGTGAGTTGTTTCCTTGCAGTGCACTCCAGCAACACTCAGTGGCTTTCTGATTCAGACACCTTCCACACAGTCCTCTGGGCTTCTAGGCAACTTTCTGTGGATCATCTGAACATGCACTGTAGACCTGTGTCTTACTTCAGACAAACTCTTTTCTTCCCTAGTCTTCCAGCCAGCACCAGTACAGCAGCCTCCCTTCTTGCTATTCCCATTCCCCACTCTCCATGTGAGAAGGCTTTCTGAACCGAGCTTCCCCATTCAATCATGGGGAACAAGCCAGTTCCATATTTCTTTTATCTGAAACACAGCCAGCAGTTTTCCTCTCTACTGCCATCCACGACCTCTTTAACCAAAAAGAATATGAAATGTACAGTTAATTGAAAACTATCTGACTTGTTATTTTACCTACACAAGCAGGTACAGACTGTCTGTGTTAGTGAAATTTTTAAAGGATGAATCTCTGTCCCCAGACTTTGCATTTGTGTTGTTTCTGTATATGCACAGCATTAACATTTGATTTTCAATGGCAATTATTGCGGCATATTAAGGTGCAGAAGGTGGTCTTTCAGAAGCGTTAAGCTGCTATTTCAAACTGCCCCAAATGAGAAGTTTGTCACTACTCATGTACAGCAGAATATGTACAATATAGGATTTGCCCTCTTGAACTAGAATTTGAAGCTTGTATTAGTATTGCATTTCATACTGTCTAGTGGTAGGTCCACAGCGTATGGCCTTTGGAGTGAGTGCAGAGCTGGAGGTAAAATGTGTAAAATCTCAGTGCACGGTTTTAGAATTCAGGTCTTTCTATCAGTTTTCTCTTGTCCTGATGGTGGTTTCTAATGCTATTCTGGGTCAATGTTGATTGAGAGAATATTGTGCTAGTAATTCAACAGCACCATTCTTTCTCTTGGCCTCTTGGCCTGTATTTTTGTGGTTAAATAAAAGATGATTTTAGAGACTGGAACTATTTTGATCACTCATCCTTGAAAATAAAAGGAGAACAGTTCCACCTAAAGTCTTTTGTTGACTTCTTGTCCTGTGTCGGAAGATACATCCTTATATAGCTCTTCCCTTAAAATGTGTAGAGAACACATGTTTCTGTTCAGGGCTCTAGATCCCAG